CCGAAAATCCGCAGCAAGCCTGTTGAATACTCCGGCTTGCTCAGTGTGTTTCGCAAAGACATCGGCGACGAGCTGCTTCTGCGACGCCTCGACCTTCTCGACCCTCTGCAGTAGCTCGACGACCTGGCCTCCCGGTGCAACGTTCACCGTCGACTGGCCTGCCGTCGAAGGCCACCAGGTCGAAGGGCCCGCCTGTCCGCTGCCACTGGCCGTGCGGTGACTCCTTGTTACGGCGGCCTGTCGCTCATCTCCTCGACGATACTCCTCAGCAGCCTCCCAGTCCTCCTGCTCCTGCCCTCCCGACCCACCCACCCGCGCAGCCGCAACCCTAAACGCCTGCTGCTGCACTCCTGCCCCACCCTCCTGCGCAGCCGCCACGCCCTCCTCCTGCTGCCCTCCTGCCCCGCCCTCCTGCGCAGCCGCCTCGCCCACCACCTGCCGCTGCCCTCCGACCCCACCCTCCTGAGCAGCCGCTCCGCCCTCCTGCTCCTCGACAGCCTTAGTTTCCCCTGTCGCCTGCTGCTCGATAAGCTCTACTCGCTCGTCCACCCGCTCCCCGAGCGCCACTCCGTGCTCCCCCGTACGCTCCGTTCTATGTCCGGCGCCCTCGCCGTCGTCCTCGGCCGACTCATCGCTCGAGCTCGAGCCGGAGCTCGTTCCCGAGCTCGAGTCCTCGTCCTCGTTCGCATCGCCGCCCGGGCCGCTCGCCCCGTGCTGAGCCTGCCTCGATGTATCCTCCTCGATCTCCTCCTCCTCCTCGACGCTGTACTCAATCAGGACGCGTCCCGTCTTCTCGCCTCCTCCCTCGTGGTCGGCACCCCCTCCCACACCTGCTCCCTCCGCCAGCTGGTCGATCTTTCTCGAAAACAGCTTCACCATGAACAACGGAAGCACACCCGGGCCAGGGTTCGTTCTCCCTAGATGCACGAGTTCGCCCTTTCGAGGCTGTAGGATGAAGTCGTCCCATTTCGTCAGAATACGGCGCACCCCATGCACGACACGAGCTGCCGCGCCGTTTTCAAAGGGGCTCGACAAGGCCGTCGTCGCCTGCGACGGGTACAAAACATACGTAAGCGACAAAACACATGCTCGACGAAAACGCCGGTGGTCTAAGGAGAGCTTACCAGATGGTCGAACTCCTCGATCAACTCCAGACGAAGGTCCATCACGTTCAACACTTCTTCGTCGCCCTCGGTCAGAGCCTGGTGGGTCATCGCGTACTCGGCGCGAAGCTGCTTCTTCATCCACCTGCGACGCAGCGGACAGAAGAGTAAGATTGTCGAGAACAGCAGATCGACAGCAGGGTGGCAAACCTGTCACTCACACGAAAACTTCTTGCGCCAGGGAAGATTGGTGGTTCATCTCGGGAAATTTGTCTTTCGAATCGAAGTGCATCATTCGAGTTCGACTGCCGCGGTGCCTCGGAGCCAGCAGATCGTCGGGGCGCGATACCACAAACAGGCTCGAGTGGGAGAACGGAGGCACACTCAGTCTGCATGCAGAGCCAATGCACGTGAGAACGGGTTCAGGGCTAAAGACGGAGCACGCAAGGCGACGGGAGAGTAGGCGACGGTAGAGTGTCGAACTCACGGTGTCCGCAGCAGAACGAAAACCACTTGCTTGCCGAGGAGGCCGTCGAGGTGGTTGTTCGCAAAAGCGACCGGGGTGGGGCGTGCCATCTCTTCACGCGCACGCGTCGGAGTCACGATCGACACCTTGGGGAGCTGCTCGACGGACAGCAGCTCATGACAGAACAGGCTGCACGGAAAGATAAGGCAACGTCAGCGATTGGTAAACCCAAGCATGGCAAACCGAAAATGTTCGACAGGACACGTACACGACGCCCGCGACCATCATGCTCTCGTCGAGCTCTCCTTTCGGCGCCTCTCTAATCGCATTCAGCTGGTCCTCGTACACCTCCACCTCGACCCCGCCGGCACTAAGGATGAGGCCGCGTCGAACCGTCGCCTCGTTCATGACGGGTACGGAGGCGGAGCTCGTAGCCATGTCAGGCCTAGCAGTGGAGAGGGCGGGCGTGCAGGGGAGTCGGGAACTAGCAGGGACTAGGAAGTAGGGAAGTAGAAATCGGAAACACCAACAAAATGAGACCGGACGAAGGGTATTACCTGTTTGCCATCCCTCCCACCGCGACGGACCAGGGGGGTTCAAGGGCGAGGAGGCAGGGCGCGTTCCGTTGACGTTGGAGGAGCTCTTCGCGGAGGCCGGCGGGGCCCTATTGGCGTCGACGTGAAACATGGGGTGGGCCCCCTTGCGTGCAGCCGAAAGGCCCCTTCCAAGGTTCGGGAGGGGGCCTTCGACACGTCACCAAAATCGTGCGGGTTGAACGAAACGGGTTGAACGACATCGGTGGAGCGCGGCGCAGATGGGCGTCGATGTCGTCCGGCCTGCGAAATTTCGCCGACTGGTTCCGTCGGCGATGCGTCGCTCGGCGAGGGATGGGCGGGTTACCGGACGGAACCCGTCCACGAACCGAGCGAGGGGTTGGGCTCGGTGGGGAGGGGGACCACTGCGCGGGCTGCTGGCGTCATCGGCAGCTGGCGCCAGCAGTTTTGGGGCGGGAGGGGGGGGTCGGCTCCCGCCCCTCGCGTGCTTCGCTAGGCGACGGCGGGAAATCGAAAATCCCTCCGGGAAAAACCCGCAGGGGCGAACGGGGTTTCCCGGAGGGATTCGGGCGAGGTCTTCCCGACACCATGTCGACTCCAATTCGGCCAAGTAGTCGACGCCGTGAGCGACTGTCACGTATGACGTCCCACAGTCTCGCAGAGCGATTAAATTTTTTATCCTGTCCAATCAGAGTTTTCGCCGTCAAATGTATGACCCCGTCGCACATACATTCCTACTGAAGCAACTGCAAATTTTATAACTTTTTGAAACTGGCCTGATATTCGGCCCTCAAACCTGTAAAGTTTGCAAATCTGAAAATAGTGGCTGTAAATGTGACGACACGAAGTCGACCAATCCGTCGACTCTCGCGAAAGAAATGTCAACCAGATGGTCGACGCAAAACCGGCCAAAAGCAGGTTTTGCAAATTTGTGGGGACTTTACACGCCCTAAAGTCGCAAACTTGGAGCCTTGTGAGTCGCGCCCCCGAACACCCCAGCCGAACTCGGTCGACGGAGCCGATTTGCCAGTGTCGTCGAGGGGGGTCGTCGGAGCCGAGAATGACGAGGCGGGCGACTGACGCGCGTGCGGGCCTGCCAGCCTGGCCCAGGGCTGGGCCGACCGCACGACCGCCGTCCCGCAGCCCCGCTCCGAAAGTGAACAGTGGCCCACGTTACCTGGTGGGGTCGGCGAACTTGCGACACCTCGCGCTTGGGAAAGTTACCCTCGCGCGAAGGCAGCCCACACGCGCCATCTGCCCGCGAAGTCCTAGTAACCCATCGCGGCCTGCCCGGACGGGCAGGCGAGGGCCGGGCGAAAATTCGGGGCCCCCTCGAGACGCTCGACAATTTCGCGACCCGTTGCGGCGACGCCACGTGTTCGTTCATGGTTTCGCATCGGGCGCATGCGATATTTGTCGTTGCGAGCGAAAAAAAAAAAAAAAAAAAAAAAAAAACCCGCGTCGCGGACAACGAGGTTCGTTACCCGCTACGAAGTCGACACGTGTTGTGCGAATGCACGCTCCTCGCGCTCGCGAAATTGCGTCCGCTCGCCGACCTGGGACAATGGACGCGAGGTCAACGCCCTGCCGAAGCGGAGTCGGACCACCTGTTCCACTTGCGCATGCGCCCTCAGAGCCCTGCTGAGCCAGGCCCCACACCCTTGGGCGACGCTGAACGGGGATGCGGTGGGCCACCGTCTCCTTTTATTTGAGGATGGTGGCATCGCTCCCCATTTTCCGCATCTCGTTTCGCTCCTCCTTTTTTCCTTCTTTTCCCATCCTAACGTGGCTCTCTGCGGCTATCATGAAATCGCTTCCCCTTAGTCAATATGGACCCTAGCCCCGACCCCGATAACTCGGCGCCGACTTCGGCTGACTTCCCTCTTCGTCACCCAATGGGTCGTGGTCTCAGCTTCACTTTAGAGTGGGAAGACTTCTTAGTTCTTCGCAACCACAAGATAGAGTTCAACGACGGATGTTTGGATTTCGGCATCAGGTACGACTCGAGTAGTCGGCGCCGACTAAACTGGGTTGGGTGTCGACGCAGTGGCCTTCTGATTTACGTCGACGTGCGCGGTATTAGGCATAGACTTCCTCCAGGAACGTCGGCCACCTTAGGAATCGCCGACCACACGCAGTCGCCCCGTGTACTTTTCAGCGTTTGCTCAACTACGCTTGTATGAACCTCCTTGCCCAATCGTGCCGTCAGGTTTGCGTGGTCCCGACTTGGGATCGAGACCCAGCGTTTGTGGGTTATCGGCGTCGGCACGCTTCGATCGGCCATGCGGGTGGCCGACCATTCATGCTTTGCTGCGGTTTTCGACGCCGACATCGCCGCTATCCCGTTAAGAACGATATGAGCTGATTCACCGTTGATCAGTTGTCGTTTTTTAGTGTTGTGACATCGCGTGGTGTTGTGATCGACGTCGTCGTGAATTGCATGTGCAGCCTCGGTGCGCTTCCAGGAACGCACTGCAGCGTCATTGCCATCCTATACCCTGGAGATCTGTTGAAGGCTGAGGGACAGGTGTGCAGGACCTCAATCCGGCACATCGACCCGCAGACCGGTAAAGGGTATCACCGCGACGAGGCCGCCCGCGTGCTAAAGTAAGTGCTGAATTGTCGTCGATGACCCGCTTGTTAGTCGGCGACACAGGGTATCACACGCTGACCGCCTCCCCCCACCGCGGTGCTTCAGGTTCTTCCACACGGCTGTCCTGGCCGAGCTGGGGCGTCCCGGTAGGATGTGGGACTGGGCGCCGCCATCACAAGCAGTGGTGGAGGTCAGGCTGGCCGACTGCGACCACCCTATCCGCGATGTGAGTTGCACGTTCAAGTCGCAAGGGGGGGTGCCCGTTTCTGAACGCTCCGCTCATCATGTTCCGTGCTTGTATGCAGAAAGTGCCAGGCACAGTGTCGGACGGGCATGTCGGTGCCGGCGTGCTTTCCGCGACGTCGTTCGGGTGGGTAGCGAAACAGAGCGACCATCTGACAGGCGAGAAGGGTCGTCGTGGGGTGAGCATCGAGAGCGTCGGCATGAAGGGGATGAAGGCTTTGCGCGACAGCATGGTTGAGTACGTCGGCAAGGTCATTGCCGTAAAACGCACCGCGACGCCGACTTCTCAAGCCGCCGGACCCGCCGACAGTGCCATAGATGACGACGGCGCGGAAGGACAGAAGGCGCCCCAAGGTGCAGTGGCCGCCCAGCATCAGGGGAACGCGAGGGTGCATGGGGAAGGTGGAAACGGTGGAGGAGGCGACGCAGAGGCAGGTGCAGGAAGGTTGGAAATGGAGAAGTCGTCGTCGTCGTCGGAGTCGGAGTCGGAGTCGGAGGAGGAAGACGAGGCGGTGAAGCGTAAGGACGAGGAGGAGTATGAGGAGTATGAGGAGGAGGAGGAGGAGAATAAGGACGAGAATGGTGAGAAGTGGGAGGGAGGGAAGGATGAGGAGGGGGGGGATGAAGAGGTGGAGTTCGTGGTGGAGTATGTAGAGGGTACGGTTGAGGCGGGAGAGGCGGAAGAGGCGGTGGGGTCGGCAGATCAGGGGAATGAGGAAGAGAAGGATGACGACGCGGGAAATGCTACGAGGTCGGCAGATGTGGGGAAGGAGAAGGGCGAGGTCGGCGTGGAGGCAACGACAGGAAATGGCCAGGATGAGGCGGCCTGCGAGGGAGGTGGGAAGGTGTCGGTCGACGCCGGCGAAGGGGCGAACAACACGGGCGAGCAGGAGGCCGGGGAAGCACCTTGTCGGCAGGGCCCAGAACTAGACGACGTCGAGGTGCTGCGAGGGGAGAACTAGTTGTTGCGGGCGGAGAACGCTCGGCTGGCGTCGTTGCTCGATGCGGAGCGGTCCCGGCTGGACAATTTTTTTGTTGGGGTTAGTGGACTCGTCGACCACGTTAAAGGGTTGGCCGAGCAGGTCGGCGACACCGACAAGTATGCCGCGGAACAGCTGCGAAACGCGACGGAGGCCATGTCGAAGACCATCACGGGCAACATCACCGGCAGCTTTGACGAAGCGTGGAAGTCGATGAAGACATTCGCGGAACATGCGACGGAGTGGTTGGAGGACTTCGACAATCCGGAGGGTCGTGTCGCGTATGCACGAGCGTTAGCGGTCTCCTCCTTGGCCGAACACGTGGATTCGGTGGTGGGCGATGCGAAGAAGGGGTTGGAAGAGTACATCTCGAACCACCTTGCCTCCGCGCAGGTCAACATCGCCACCGCTTTGACCGCCAGGCTCGCCGTGCCGCCGCCGCCACCGCCTCATCCCACGCCGCCCGCCATCCCAGAAGAGCTTTTGAAGTCGTTCAAGGCCGACATCCTGAAGGCGGTGACGGAGGCCACCCAGCAGTCTTTTGTTGCTTCCGGGATGAAGATCATGACAGAGATGATCGGCACTGTGGCGCTTGGTCGACGTGGGTCGTCGCCTTCGGCCAATGACGCCGATAACGCGCAAAGAAAAACGGCCGAGAAGCAGGGCCATAAGAGGACGGGCGACGGAGACGACAAGGGGAGCTCGAAGCGGAGCAAGGGAGCGGGCGGTAGTTTCGGGTCGAAGCCTGCGCAAAAAAGCGACCAGCTGAAGACGAAGGCGGGGTGGAAGGTGGTAAGGACGTCGCACAGCAAGGGAGGCGGAAGCGGGGGAGCAAAGGGTGGCCCTGCCGACGGGGTTGCCGCTAACCTAGCTGCTCCGACTGGCCCGCCTTTGGTCGCCGAGCAGACCCATCCTCAGGCGAGCGGTGGGAAAGGCGTTACCGACAAGGAGGTGCCAACTGCTCAGGCGGCGAATGATGGTGACTCCGGAACCACCAAGGGACCGTCCGTCGCGGCGGCGGGCAAGCCTGCTTCTGCTACGGTTGCCGGCACCACCAAGTCGAGTCCCCGTAACCCCCTTGCGGCTACCAGCGCGCCTGCCGGCCAGTCAGGTGCGAACAAAGATGGGGAGGCTGCTCCAGCTCCAGCAACCCCGACTGCCGCCAAGGTTGTCGCGAAGGTTGCTTCGGCTAAGGGTGATGCCATGGCATCAGCTAAGGCCCCCCCCGGTGGTACCGCGCTCAGAGAGATGCTCCGCCGCATGGAGGCACATAGCAGGGACGTGCAGCAGCATCCCGCGGTCGACGCCGGCCTTCCTGGAACAGCACGCCGCTCCGTCACTACGCAGGTTGCCGGCAAGTCGTCCGGTGCCCCACCTGCCGCGCCTCCGGTGGCCGCCCCACCGCCTGCGGACCCCAAGTCCGATTTTCTTCGCGCCCATTTAGGCGCACGCAAAGCGGCTGCTCCGTCAGTGACCCTGCCAAAACTCGGCAAAAGCGCGACGCCGACGTCGGTAAACGCGACCGCACCCACACCAGGTGCATCTGTGGTCGATGTGGCGGCGGAGAAGGGAGTGAGTGCAGCGCTCGCCACCGGCGGCCGCGCAGACAAGCATGCCGACCTCGCTGTCGTCATGGCCCATTTTGAGGCAGCAAAGCGCCCCGAGCACGCCCCTGTTATGGCCATCATGGACACGGCGCATGTGGTGCCGTCGGCGACCCACGGAGGGGGTTCGACGGAGCAGACGGCCGCGACAGCTGCTGTCGCCGAGATAAATGCTGGACGGAAGGAAAAGGACGACAACGGGAAAGGGAAGGCGGTCTCTCAGAGGAGCACGCGGGCGATGACTGCGGGGAAGTTGACGTCGGAAGAGAAAGGAAAGAAGGCGGAAGGGGAGAAGGACAAGACGGGCGGCAAGGGTAAGCCGGCGAAGAAGAAGGAGAAGGCGGAGGAGGAGGACGAGGAGGGCGGCGAGGGAGATAAAGAGCATGGACGCAGGGGTCATGGCATCCGCCGAGACAAGGCTGGCGACGGGCAAGGGTGGGTGGGCGAGATTAAGGTACACGGACAGAATCGGTACATCGGCAAGTCGAGGGAGAAGATGGAGCTGGCCTACGAGCACGCGATTGCGTTCGTCGTCTACGACGGCTACATGAGCAAGGTGCTCATGAAGGAGCTCACCGTCTTGAACCCGGGGGAGTTGGATAAATGGAAGGAGGTGTGGGCGGAGGTGAAGTTCTTGCCCACTGGGATGTGGACAGTGATGTGGGCCAGAGGCTTGTGCCATCCGAGAGCAAGGTAAGACGGATACTGACGTGCCGAGTTCTGTCGACCAAGTTGGTGTCAAAACGCTGAAGTCCTGTCGTTTTAATGTGTTTGCGCGGCAGGTTCGACAATATACTCGACAGGTACCGTGGGTACGCGAGTTCGGGTGTTGCGCTTCATGACGTGCTCTGGCCGGCGATCTGGTTCCCCATCATCGAGGACACGGAGGAAGGCAAGGAAGAGACGAACGCTCTCATGTCGGCGATGGTAAATCGCGTGTCGATGTGCGCGGCGTATGGGAAGGTCGCGGCGAGCGCAGCGTTTGGGAAGGTCGATGCGAGCGTGGAGGGGAAGGTGGACGAGAAGATGGAGATGGGGGCCCAGGCGTTAGCGGCATCGGCATGCACCATCTGGTGCTTCTTGGAGACGGGGGCGTCGGTGCTCGGTGCTGTGGGCGAAGGGAAGGCGGCGGCGATGGTGGCAGGTGCGAGGGAGGCGAGGGCCAAGGACTTCAAGGAGGTGATGCACGCGGTGATCGACATAGCACGCAGCAGGCAGGCTCCCGCTGGGGACGTTGCACATAACGTCGCGCCATCGCTGCAGAGCCAGGCAGTTGCCAGGGCCTTCGCGAAGGGAGTTGAGGAAGTCGAGGCCGACATGATCGCAAGAGCGACGGTCGAGACCTTGGCGTTCTGGGGAATGTGCCTCGTCGCCGGGCCCAAGCTCAAAGCGCAGGGCATCGATGTGCCGTGTGACGCGAGGATGGAGTACGATATGGATCACAGGGGGATGAAGGGGGAGAAGGTCAAGCAGAGCAAGGGCAGCAGCAAGAGGAAGAAGAGCAAGCAGGGCATGGGCAGTACGGATGCGTAGTTGGCGGGCTGTGGTGTGCAGGGCACTATTGTATGGTTGGCGCCGATGGCGTAGTAATTCTAATGACTTTTGTATCGAAGGGCACGAATCTTTTTCCGTTTTATAGTAAATCACTGTCCACATTGAAACTTGCTAGCCAACTTTGAACGATGCGCCTTGTCGCCGCATATGTCGACATCAAAAGGAACATCCTACTCGGCGAGCAGCGATGATAGACGGGGTAGACACATGCTATTCCGCGACGAGTTATGTCGGCGAATATGTCGACGCCCTATCGACATGCAATCCTGCGAGACGTCGACATCGAGCTGTGCTTAGATGTGAGCAAGGATACTATTTTTGTTTCTTACTGAGCGACCGACTACATTTAACACAGCGGGACCCAGTAGGTTCGCAAGGGCGTTGCAGTGGGTTGTTACAAACTACCAGAACAGCATTTGGAAAAACAAGGGAAGGGGGGGTGGGGGGGGGTGGAGGGGGGGCTTGGGGGGGGGGTGTACAAATCTGCCACTGTTAACAGCATCGAACTACGCACACGCATATCCTACAGGCGCGATCATGCCGACTTCTTGCGCTTGGTCGGAGGACGGTGCACCGGAGCGGTCGGCTTGGCCGGTGCTGTCGACTTGGCCGGGGCCGTCGGCTTGGCCAAGTCGGCCTTGGTCTTCGGCATCTGGTCCTCCCACGTGTCTGGAAACAGGGTTTCGACCCAATCACTCTGCTTCAAGTTGAGCGCCACAAGCGCACAGGCGAGGCGTAGCTTCGAGACCACCTTGGGGCCCAGCCCCTTGACTCCCAAACCAGGCTCTTTGGACAACATCGGTGCCGTTCCCGGTTTGAGCACCGTGAGGGCATCGGCGAAGGTCCCGATGCCCGATGCCGCGATCCTGTGCAGTGTGTCGACCACGGCCTCGGTGTCGGCGTCGCCGTCGCTCGCGCGTAGCTGGCGCACCGCATCCATGACCTTCAGCATGCGGCGCACCCTCTTGTTGAGTGCACTCTGCGTCGCGTCGGCGAGGAGGGTGTGGCGGTCGATGAACCCCGGCCCGGCCATCCTGTCGCAAAGCCGACGGGTGTCATTAGCGGTGGCGGAGTTCCAGAGGCGCCAGGCGTCCCTCACGGTCTTGGCCTCCCGCCACGGTTGTACCACGTTGAGCTCGTAACTAGCCTCCTCGTCCGTCTGTGGGGGTGGCGGGGGTTTGTCGTCCCCTCCGTCGGCGTCGGCTCCCATGTTGGCCGAATCCGCCGAGCCACCCTCGCTGGGAGCATGCGCGGTAGCACACGGCGGGGCCTCCGGCACTCTCCGTGCTTCTGACACACGGAGTGCCTCGGTGAGACGGGTTATCTCGGCGGTGAGAGACGCGATGGTGTCATCGCGCTTCTCGAGCTCCTCCAGGAAGTCAATCTTCTCGTTTGCGGCACGCTCCATCTCCTTCGCCAGCTTCACCTTGAGAGACATGTTGTAGTATTCGGTGTCCATGCGGACAGAGATTTCCTGCACCGGTAAGAAAAAGACGTTAGCCGCGAGGTGGTTTGGAATGCCCTACAGCCAGCTCGTCGTCGACTTACCTCTTCCTGAATTTGGGTCGGGTCCCGACGCTTGTTGATCGTCTCGGTGTCGACCCTTTCGACCCGTTTCGCCCAGTGCTGGAAGAGGGGGATCCGCCAGAGCAAGGAGCCTTGGACGTACGGGTGCCATGGTGTGCGGACCAGCTTCACCGCTAGGTCCTCGGCGACGATGCGGCGCAACATCTGGAGTGTGCGCCAGAAGTGCACCGCGGCTTTGTCGGCGTCGGACCCCTCGACAGCCTTCCCTTCCGCCTGCAATTTGTCACGTTTATTAGGAGTTCAGACACTATTGGCCACACGACTCGGAAACCAAGAATACGAGGGCTTTGACCAACATACCGTCTTCAGCATGTCGTCGACGCCGGGGAAGATGTGCTCGGCGAGGAGCTTCAAGAGCTTATCGGAGGGCTCTACCCTGCTCCGGCCCAAGAAGTAGTCCTGCTTGTAACCAGAGTAACCGGCCTTCTTCATCACCACCCCCACCGGAATGGCGGTGATGTACGCTCGCGTCATCTTGTCGAGCGCCCAGTGACCCAGCTCCGCGATCTCGGCGCGCGGCGTGCCGTCGATGGCCAGCTCCTGGGCCCCTCCGGCTCGAGCGGCGTGCACGTTCCTCTTGCAGAAGACCCCGTTTTTGTCCCACAATTGCCGCGTCCAGCGTTGGTGGGTTGCCGCAGAGAGCTCCCCTTGGTCGGTGTCGTTTCTTGCGAAGAAGAGGTGCTTCTTGTACCAGCTCGCGCGTGTGCTGGTGTCCACCGGCAGAATGAGGCGGACGCCGTGAAACTGGCCGATCTGGTCGAGGATGAAGTGCAACCACAGGCCCGTCTCACCGACGGCGCACAATTCCGCTTCGAGGTGCCGCGCAGCGTAGCTTTGCTGCAAACGCGCATCCTTGGACGTCTTGGAGTTCCGCGCAGCGATGACCATGACGACCGGCTGGTTCTCCGGGTTCACCGACGAGGTGCTCGCCAGTCGGTACAAGAATATGTCGGGGAGCGTGATCTCGCGGATGCTTGCACCGCGCAGAAGAGAGTGGTGGGAGAGTAGCGTGAGCACCTTCAACAGCAGAAACCGCCATAGCGTCTGCGACGGGCCCGTACCCCGCGGGTTCCACGCCTTGGCCGCCCACGTCGGCAGCACCCTGAACATGATCTGGCAGAACTGCTCGGCGGTGTAGGTATCGCCGATTGTTCCGCGACGCCGATCGGTGCAGTTCCTGCCGACAATGCCGAGGGTGGGGGGCAATTAGGGCGGCGTCGACTCAGTACAAGACAACAAGAGAAACAAAAACTCACTTGATGTCCCGCTCGTTCTTGGTGCGGATCATGAACCGCACCTCCGACCTGACTACCGATATCTCACGCATGATGCTCAGCTCCGTCTCCCGGTATATCGTCGCCTCCACTCGCGCCGCCATCTGGCATGCCTTTATGCGCCCAAGGAGCGTGTGCACCGTTGTAGATTTCACAGGCTGTGTTCCTGTGGTGTTGTCGCCCTTCTTGGTTGACTCGGCATCGAGATTCAACTCCCGAACCATGTACTTCACGTATGCGCGAAGCCGGGACTGGGTGACCCTAGGGCCGTGCAGCCACACGTACGACCGGGGGACATCGGCCTCTTGGTCCCAGTTTTTCTTCTTGTTGTCCCGGATGTAGTGCCCTATCTCGTCGACGTGCTTAAGCCTGTACTCATGCGGAAGCTTGTTGCGAATTTGCCTCAACATGTTCGCCGCCCACCTCTTGTAGTGATAGATCCACGAGGTGTACTGCCTCAGCGTGCTGTTCCTCGCCACGGTTTGCGGGTGGCGTAGTGCGTCCAAGACGAGCACATCGATGGTCTCGTACACCATGTCTTCCGCGACGAAGTCTGCCGCCCTCCACTGTTCGCGCGGCACTGACAAATTCTCCTGGTCTGTATCCTCATCCTGTTCGAGCAGATCATCTATGTATTCAAGTTCCCGCCTGAGCCGTTCTTCCAAGGTGCGCTGACTAGTGCTACGCGGCGGACGCTCGTCGTTTTCGTCATCGCTTTCCTCCTCCTCCTCCCCCCCATCCTCCTCCTCATCGACATCAACCTGGTTTCCAGGGCCGGCCGGTGCCGACGAAGTTCCAGGCCGTCAAGTTCGCGTCGGATTCTGTTTTTTGTTCTTCTTAAACTCCCCGACCGGCGGTGGGGGAATGTCCTTGGTGAACTCCCCTTCTGGAATCTGCGTCAGCCTGTCAAGATCGTAGAGTAAGGGGAGCGTCTCTTCCTCGGTAGATGTCGGACTGTGGTCGGCGGATGGTCTAGCGTCAGTCATGTCGACGTCGGCCATGTGGCAGCACGTATGTTGCTCTATCGTCGTCCGTGTGCGATGCGGAGGGCGGTAAACCGGAGAGGGAACTGATTCGCGCGGCGGTCCTCTTGGAATTCTCGTTCAAGTAACCCTAACTCGGCTTCGACCTCGAGCCGTTCCAGCTCCGCTTTGATGTCGGCGTCTACAGAGTCGGCGGGGGGTGGAATGGGTTGCGGCTGTCGGGCTCTAGGCCGACCTCTGGCCATGCGTCGCCGACTTGCTACGTCGGCGGGGACGTTAGGAGCATGCACCGATGTTTAGCTAAATCAGCAGACGTCGACGTCGATGACTACTGACCAAGTCGGCAACCGAGTAGCCTTCAGGCGCGATGACAGACTGGCAGCTGAAAATTCGAAGTGCAAGAGAGAGCAGGAAGAAACGCAGGAACGGACGTGGGAATGAGCAGGCCCGCAAGGTCACGGACGGGTATGGTCCTGAGCGACTCCGATGCTGCCGCGCTTCACGCACACCCCTATGCTGCTGCCGCCATGCATGTGATCTCGTAAAGGCGGCGCACTGGCCGACGTGCCACGTGCCAAGCATGGCTAATGTGACGCAGCGCTGCAACGAAGGGGCGTAGGCCTGGGTCTTTCCACGGTGGAATGGGCGTGTGTTACAGTGTTGAGATTGTGCCGCGTGCCTTGGTTGTGGCCCTTTGGATGAAATTGTCGACACCGACATTGCTTGCCTTGACTCGCGATGCCACAGAACATTTACACCCTGGACGGTCCGATTTGCGCCGCGTGGCAGCCTAGTACACGGTGGGGACGATCTGGCTCTTCCTTATTGGTCCGCGTGGCGACCCTCGCGTCTCGACGTGGCGAGCTTTCCTGTTTTGTCCGCTGAGATTTACTTCTCAGGAATATCCCAAGGCAAACCTATGTCGTCGGATTGTCGACAATCCCGAGGGGTTCAGGGCCCCGGAGGACTGCCAGGTCACCCCAGTTTGCCACTCGGAGGTCGTCAGGAGCTCGTCAATCCCGAGGGGGTTCGTTGTCCTATCGCAACGGCGAAATTGGGCGGCTGTTTTCATCGGCTGAGGTATATCATCCCGAACACCCCAGCCGAACTCGGTCGACGGAGCCGATTTGCCAGTGTCGTCGAGGGGGGTCGTCAAAGCCTGGGCTGACGCGGCGGAGCACTGACGCGCGTGCGGGCCTGCCAGCCTGGCCCAGGGCTGGGCCGAGCGCACGATCGCTGCCCCGCAGCCCCGCTCCGAATGTGAACAGCGGCCCACGTTGCCGGGTGGGGTCAGCGAACTGGCGACAGCTCGCGCGTGGGAAAATTACCCTCGCGCGAAGGCAGCCCACACGTGCCACCTTCTCGTGAGGTCCTAGTAACCCATCGCGGCCTGCCCGGACGGGCAGGCGAGAGCCAGGCGAAAAGTCGGGGCCCCCTCGGGACACTCGACAACTTCGCGACCCGTTGCGGTGACGCCACGTGTTCGCCCGCCTACTTCGCTTCGGGCAACATGCAGAATTTGGTACATTGTGAATTCAATTCGGGACATTGCGAATTCGATTTCGATCGATTCGCGGCGCACATTTTTCGCTTCGGGACGTGATATCGACTTGCTGGCTCGGCGGCGAATGAGAACTTGTGCCACTTGTGCACGACCCCGCCAAACCCCGCCGAGGCAGGCACCACGAGGGCCGGGCGATGCCTCGACCGTTCCTGTGGGGCACCGACCCCCTTTTCTTGGTGGAAGGGGGCACCGCTCCTCATTTTCGGCATCTCGTTTCCCTTTCCACCTTTTCCCCAGCTCTATGCCTTCTCCCACATTCACGTCCCTTAGCTTGTAGCCGCTTCCCTTCCCCGCCACGTCAGCCGCCCCGAAACTCGGCGAAGTGACGCCGACTTCGCAGGACTTCCCTCTGTATCTCGACCTGGGTAGTGGACTCACTGCCAAGCTCGACGAACACGACTACGCCATCCTCGTAGACCATAGGCTAGAGTTCAACGCCCGTTTCTTGGGATTCGGCCTCAAGTGAGTGTCCGTATTGGGATATCGACGTCGACCGCTGGATACCTTGCAGGTCGTTGTTGTTAGGGTTGTCCCACGTTTTGGTCGGCGCTACTAGTTTAGGGTTTAGATCACTACTCGGTGACGCACACAGCCGTAGGTCGGCACCGGACTCCGATCACTACAGTAGGTCGGTGCCCGCATCGGTAGGCGCCATTGATTACAACGTAGCGACGGTGGTGCACCGTTCTACTATCGCCATCCCCGTCAGTTGTCGGTTCCAGAACCCACGTGTCCATCCGTCGTGCCGTGCACGTCCTCAAACACATCTACTACCCATGCATGCGTGCAGGTACGCATGAATTCGCGCGGCGCCGGCCAACATGCGATTGTGGTCGATAGGACTCGGCCGGCTTCGGGCGGCGATGGGCAAGGAAGACCACTCATGCTTTGCTACGGTGTTCGACGCCGACGTAGCTGTTATCCCTCTGCATTCGAGGTGAGCCTAAGTCATGATGGTGTACCATGATGCCTATGTCGCTGCTCCGTTCTGATCGACGTCGTGGTGCCTAGCCTGTGCAGCATCGCACCGCTTCCAGGGGCACATTGCAGCGTCGTGGTCATCCTGTACCCCGGCGACTTGTTGCGGGCCGGGGGGGAGACGATCAGGACCTTTGTCCGGCAATTTGACCCGCAAACTGTGAAACAGTGGCACCGCGACGAGGCGATCCGCGTGCTGAAGTGAGCTCGATAGTGTAGTCGACGACGCATGCAATTTCGCCGCTAGGCATTAAGCAAGTCTACTGACGATATGTGCCATGTTGCTTCAGGTTTTTCCGGGCGGCGGTGCTGGCCGAGCTCGGCCGCGATGGTCGGCAGTGGGAGTGGCCGAAGCCTTCTGCTGAAGAGGTGGCGGACAGGCTCGCCGACTGCGATGAACCCGTTCGAGATGTGAGTACCGATCGTTTTACCGTCCTAGAGCGATGCAATTGCCGCCGTCGGTGCTCATCCTTGCTCTCTGCTCTGTTGTTTGCAGAAAATGCGCGACACCGTCCGGGACAGCGACGCAGGCTCTGGCCTCCTATCAATGAGCGCGCTGTGGTGGGTGGTGAACAGGATGGATCGCCTGACCGGCGACGACCGTCGCAGTGCGACCAGCATGGACAAGGTCCTCGTTTCAGGGTTGAAGGAGCTGCGGATTCGGATGATCACATACATCAAGGAACACGTCGCACGCAAACGGTCAGGCCATGTCGGAGTTGCTGCCGATGCCTGTGACGACGACGCCGCGGAGTCCCCTTCGGCATCCCAAACAGTCGGTGTCGCCGACACCAGCGGAGAGGCCGGAGACGGCGTCGACAAGGCAGATGAAGAGGCAGAAAGGGCTGTGGCGAGGACCGCAGATCAGGAAGAGGAGGAGGATGACACCGACGATCAGGATGATAACGAGGAGGATCGTGAGGAGCGTGAGCAGGGGCATGGGCAGGAGGAGGAGGAGGAGGAGGAGGAGGAGGAGGAGGAGGAGGAGGAGGAGGAGGAGGAGGAGGAGGAGGAGGAGGAGGAGGAGGAAGAGGAGGAGGATGAGGAGGAGGAGGACAAGGAGGCGGCGGCGGCGGAGGCCGTGGAGCAGGGTTTCGGGTCGGTGGAGCAGGTGGCGGAGGGGGAGAAGCAGCAAGAGGGGGAGGAGGAGGTAGAGTTCCCCTGGGTCGAATTCGAGATGGAGGATGTTGAGGGAGCGGCGGCGGTGGCCGTGGAGGGAGCGGCGGCAGCCGTGGAGGGAACGGGTGGGATGTCGGCGGATGTTGTGTACGTGCGAGGGGAGGGTGCCGATGTGGAGAATGTCGGCATGGAGGAGGCGCACGTGGTCGGCAATGTGGTTGGCGATGCAAAGGAGGAGGATAACGCCGCCGCCCTGACGCCGACAGGCGTGGAGACCACCACAGGGAACGCAGGGGTGGAACCCCGGGGTGGAGCGGTAGAGGCGGGCCGTCAACCGGGATCCTCAGCAGCTGGTCGGCAGGCAACGCCGACCGTCGTCGCGCAGCTGCGACAGGAGAACATGTGGTTGAGGGCTGAAAATGCTCGTCTCGAGATGGCGCTAAGAGTGGAGAGGGGTCGGGAGGACAGGTTTGCGATGGGGATTGGCCGCCTCGTGGACAAGCTCAGGTCGTTGGCCGACCAGGTCGCTGCCTCCGACCAGGACGCGTCGAGTCGGCTGATGGACGCGTCCTTGACCATGGCGACGACCGTGACGGAGAACATCACCGCCAACATGGGTGAAACATGGGATGCGATGAAGGCGTACGCCAAGAGGGCGGAGAGCTGGTTGGAGGATCTAGAGAATCCGGAGGGGTTTATGGCGGTGCAACGTGCGAACGCGGTCGTTGCCATGGGCAACCACGTGGACGAAGCGAGGAAGGGATTGGAGGAATACATATCGAAGCACCTAGTCGCCGCGCAAACCAACATCGCCGCCGCGGTAACTCAACGCGTCGCCGTCCCGCCGCCCACGCCGCCCGCCCCACCGCCAGCCTTCCCGGACGAGCTGATGAAGTCTTTCAAGGCAGACGTGTTGAAGGCGGTGACTGAGGCCACCCAACAGTCGTTTGTTGCGTCCGGGTTAAACCTCATGACCCAGGTGATCGGCCATCTGGCGCCTGGTCGGCATGGGTCGTCACCGTCGGACAACGAGGCCGACACGAAGGGTGCGAAAAGGGCGGGCGGCGGAGATGATGCATTGAGCTCGAAGCGGAGCAAGGGAGCTGATGGGAGCCGCGGCGTCGACCAGGTGGGTCCAGGCGGCTCGCGGAGCAAGGGAGCCGATGGGAGCGGAGGTACGAGCATGGTCGACCAGCTCAAGAAGAACGGGGCCAAGGTGATAAGGATGCACAGCAAGGGCGATGGAATCAGGAGTGCAGAGGGGGGCCCTGCCGACCAGGTTGTCGCTCAAGAGGCTGGACCAACAGCCCCGCCATTGGTCGCCGAGAAGACGGCTAGTCTAGCGACCGCACCATCGGCGATAGATGGCGGCGCCAAAACCGTCAAGGGACCGTTCGGCGGAGTGGCGGGGACCACGTCGATCCCCAGCAAACCCCCTGCGGCTAGCAGCGCGCCGGTCGCCCCGTCAGCCGCCAACAACGATGGGCCGTCCCTTGCGGCTACTCCAGCACCAGCAGGCACGTCTGCCGCCAAGGTTGACGCGGTGAATGCTGCGGCTAACCGCGCTGGTCCGTCCGCCCCAAAGGCGAACGCGCTCAGGGAGATGCCCAGCCGCATGGAGACCCATCGACAGGACGTGCAGCAGCCTCCCGTGGTCGGTACCGCGCCGGCCACAACAGCACGTCGCTCGGTCACTCCCCAGGTCGCCGCCACAACGTCCAGTGCCCCACCTACCGCGCCTATCATCGCCGCCCGTCCTCCTGTGGACCCAAAGTCCGCGTTGCTTCGCGCCCGGTTAGGCGCACGTACTGCGGCAGCGCCAGCACGGGCTCAGCCGGTATCCAGCTCATGCGCGACGCCGACGTCGGTGACCGTAGCTGCACACACACTCGGTGCGGCTACTGTCGAAGCGGTGGCGGAGAAGGGCGTGAGTGCAGCGCTAGCCACGGGCGGCGGATCAGTTGACCCTGCACAGGCGGCGAAGGACCACAACGACGCCGATATCGCTGCCATCCAGGACCTGTTGGAAGCGGTAAACCGCCCCAAGCAGCCCCCTGTGCTGGCCATCTTGGACTCGGCGAGTCCCACCGGTTGTACAGCGGAGCCTTTGACGACCACTGCTGCGGTCAGCGCGGGAAAGTCGAAACGGAAGGGGACGGTCGACGCAGGGAAAGCGAGGCCAAGCTCGAAGAAGAAAACATGGGTGACGTCGGCGATGGTGAAGTCGGTGGAGAAAGGACAGGGGATGGCGACGGCGATGGTGAAGGAGAAGGCAGCGGAGACAGGGAAGGAGAAGGAGGAGGAGATGGAGGAGAAGGAGAAGGAGAAGGAGGAGAAGGAGAAGGAGAAGGAGAAGGAGGAGGAGAAGGAGGAGAAGGAGAAGGAGAAGGAGGAGAAGGAGAAGGAGAAGGAGAAGGAGAAGGAGAAGGAGAAGGAGAAGGAGGAGGAGAAGGAGGAGAAGAAGGAGGAGGAGGAGGAGGAGGAGAAGGAGGAGAAGGAGAAGGAGGAGGAGAAGGTGGAAGAGGCGGAGGTGGAGGAGGAGGAGGCGGCGAGGGAGGAGGAGAAGGTGAAGATGAAAGAACGGAAGGGTCATGGCATCCGCCACGACACCACGGGCGACAAGCAAGGGTGGGTGGGCGAGATTAAGGCACGGGGCGCGTTCCTCCCAAAGACACGGTAAGTCGGATAAACGTCGGCCAAGCGATGATGTCGACGTCGGCGTTCCTAACGGCCGGTTTCGTGTGATTGCGTGACAGGTTCGATGATATCCTCGGGAAGTATCGAGCGTACAAGACATCAGGCGATGCGCACCATGACGCGCTTTTGCCCGCGATCTAGTTCCCCGTCGATGCCGACAAGAAGGAAGGGAAGTAGAAGTCGGATGCAATGATGTCAGCCATAATTGACCGCGTGTCCTTGTGCGCGGTGTATGGGAAGGTCGCTGCATCCGCGGCGAGAATGGAGGGCGACACGGATCAGACGACGGCGAAGGTCGCACAGGCGCTGTCGGCCTCCGCTTGCGCCCTTTGGTGCTTAGTCGAGGGCGACGGCACCCAGGTGGCTGATGCCGTGCGCGAAGGGAAGGCGGCGGCGATGTTGGTCGGCGCGAGCGAGACTACCGCCGCCGAGTTCAAGAAGGTCATGACGGCGGTGCTGGAGGCCGCGATCAGCAGGCAGCAACCCCTCGGGGAGGTTGCGCACAACGTCGCACCGGCGCTGGAGTCCACCGCTCTGGCCAAAGCCTATCCGGGGTTGGATGTTGATGCCGAGGCCAAACTAATCGCACGCGCGACGGTGGAAACCCTCGCGTTCTGGGGAATGTGCCCCGTGGATGGTCCGAAACTCAGGAAGATCGGCATCGTGGTGCCGCTTGACGCGCAGATGGAGTACGATATCGAACACAGGGGGAGGAAGAGGCAGAGGGGCAAGCAGGGCAAGGACAGCTCGGGGAAGAAGGGGAGGAAGGGCAGAGCGGGCAAGGACAGCACGGCGGCGTAGTCGGCATAACAATCTGCCATGGGCAGCAGGAGGGAGCGCAAGTAGGTCTTCTTGCTAGGATGGCCTGGTATTGGCGGCGTCGATTGTGTAGTTTTTGTTCGGATTTTTTTTCGTTTGATTGTATATTTTTCGTTGGGATTTCTTTTCGGTTGTGGTTGCGTATTTCTTTTGTTGGCTGTAACTTTTTGGTAGTGCATGTTACTAGAACACACCTCGGCAAGGTCGACCTGATCTCTACCATGTTACTCAAATGCGGGCCCGGTTCGATCCACCCCGTCGGCGTATAACAACTCGGCGTCGTACGGTGTCGACAAAGTGCGTCTGGCTGTATGTATGTATATTCTCGGCGATGAGCCTCATCAGCTAGACCGAGATGGTCTATGGTCGGCGCTTTGGTGAATGTGCCGCGCCGCCCATGTGGCTGAAACTCTAGGAGGTCGGCATCGATGTGCCGTTTGACGCGCATATCGAGCGGGCATGGACAGCACTGATGCGTAGTCGGCGCGCGGTGGGAGCGCTAGGTGGTATGATTGCTCGGTTATAGCGTGATCGACGTCGTTTGCGCCGTTTGCATGCAGTCAGCGATGTCGACATGAAAAAGGCACAATGAATTTCACACACATGCTGGCGACTATGTCGGAGTCCGACATATCTGGTTCGGATGTATGTGTTGGATCATGTATGTTCGTGTTGCATCACCGTCAAGAAGTACGATGGGATCACAACGGTTTGCTAAATTAGGGCATCATCAACCTACGCTAACACATATGCACCGAGGATGTTCATGCCGACTTCTTGCGCTTTGACCGAGGACGCTGCGCAAGTGCGGTCTGCTTGGCCAAGTCGGCCACGGTCTTCGGCATCTGCTCCTCCCAGGTGTCTGGAAACAGGCGGTCGACCCACGTCGTCGGCTTCAGCTCGAGCGCCACCAGCGCACAGGCGAGGCGTAGCTTCGAGACCACCTTGGGGGCAAGCCCCTTGACGCCCATGCCAGGCTCCTTGGACATCGTCGATGCCGTCTCCGGGTTGAGCACCGTGAGGGCATCGTAGAAGGTCCCAATGCCCGGTGCCGCGATCGTGTTCAGTGCATCGACCACGGCTTCGGTGTCGGCATCGCCGTCGCTCGCGCGTAGCTGGCGCACCGCATCCATGGCCTTCAGCATGCGGCGCACCCTCATGTTGAGTGCACCCTGGGTCGCGCCTTTGAGGAGGGTGTGGCGGTCGATGAACCCCGGCTCGGCGACCCTGTCGCATAGACGACGGGTGTCATTGGCGATGGCGGAGTTCCAGAGGCGCCAAGCGTCCCGCACGGTCTTTGAATCTCGCCAAGGTTGCACCACGTTGAGCTCGTAACTGGCCTCCTCTGCCGTCTAGGGGGGTGGCGGGGGTTTCCCATCATCTCTCTTGGCTCCGGTCCCCGTGTTGGCCGAATCCGCGGAGCCACCCTCGCCCGGAGTTTGATCGGTCGCCGACGGCGGCGCCGCCGGCATCCTCCGGGCTTCTAACACACGGAGTGCCTCGGTGACTCGAGCAAGCTCGGCGGTGAGCGACGCGATGGTGTCGTTTTGCATCTCGATCGTCTCCTGCAGGCCTAGCTTCTTGCGCGCCGAGCGCTCGACCTCCTTCTTCAGCACCTCCTTGAGGGACATGTTGTGATACTGGGTGTCCATGCGGACGGATATTTCCTGCAATGTTGAGTGTGCGGAAAGGCGACAAGAGGTTAGAATTCACCGGCTAAAATTCAACGACGCCGACATGGTCGGCGACTCACCTCTAGCTGAATCTGAGTCGGGTCCCGGCGCTTTTTGATCGTATCGGTGTCGACCGACTCGACCCTTTTCGCCCAGTGCTGGAAGAGGGCAATCCTGCAGATCTCGGAACCTTGGACGTACGGGTGCCACGGTGTGCGGACGAGCTTCACCGCGAGGTCCTCGGCGACGATGCGTCGGAACATCACGAGGGTGCGCAAGAAGTGCACTGCGGCTGCATCGGCGTCGCTCCCGTTAACGGCACGCGTCTCCGCCTGCAAGTCGGAAAGTGGCGTGGGTTAGTAGGGAGTTGGGCAGCCAACTAGGCCACGACGACTGAAAAACATTGTCGGCGTCGCGTGACATACATCGCGCAGCATAGCATCCACTCCGGGGAAGATGTGCGCGGCGAGCAGGTCCAGGAGTTTGTCGGAGGGCTCGACCCTGCTGCGCCCCAAGAAGTAGTCTTGCTTGAGTCCCGAGTAGCCGGCCTTCCACATCACCACCCCAGCGGGAATGGCCGTGATGTATGCACGCGTCATCTTGTCGAGAGCCCAGTGTCCCAGCTCCGCGATCTCCGCGCGCGGAGTCCCTCCGATGGCTAGCTCCTGCGCACCTCCGGCGCGGGCGACGTGCACATTCCTTTTGCAGAACACCTTGTTGGTCGTCCACATCTGCCGAGTCCAACGTTGGTGGGTGGCGGCGGGGAGCTCCTCCTGCTCCTTGTCGTTTCTGGCGAAGAAGAGATGCTTCTTGTACCAGCGTTCGCGTTCTGTGGTGTCAAGCGGCGGAAGGAAGTCGGTGCCGGAGAACTGACCGATCTGGTCGAGGATGAAGTGCAGCCACAGGCCGGTCTCGCCGACGGCGCACAGCTCCGCTTCCAGGTGTCGCGCCGCGTAGCTCTGCTGAAGACGGGCATCCTTGGATGTCTTCGAGTTACGCGCGGCGATCACCATGACGACCGGCTGGCTATCCGGGTTCACCTCCGAGGTGCTCGCCAGGTGGTACAAGAAGACGTCGGGGAGCGTGATCTCGCGGATGCTGGCGCCGCGCAGGAGAGAGTGGTGGGAGAGTAGCGTGGGCACCTTGACGAGCAGGAATCGCCACAGCGTTTGCGACGGAGTGGTTGCCCGCGGGTTCCACGCCGCCGCCGCCCATGTCGGCAGCACCCTCATCATGATCTGGCGGAACTGCTCGGCGGTGTAGGTATCGCCGATGGTGCCGCGTCGACGGTCGGCGCAGTTCCTGAACGCAAATCGGCGGGGAAAATCAGTTAGACTGCATCGACTTCACAGTGCACAGTGATATAGAATAAGGTTGTCGACCAACTTACTTGATGTCCCTCTCGTTCTTGTGGCGGACGTTGAACCGCACCTCCGATCTGACCACCGAGATCTCCCTCATGATGCCTAGCTCCTTCTCTCGGTACAGCGTTGCCTCCACCCTCGCCGCCATCTGGCATGCCTTTATGCGGCCGAGGATCGTGTGCACAGTTGTCGACCTCACAGGCCCCGTTCGCGTGGCATTGTTCTCCTCCCCGGGCTGGTCAACAATGAGGCTACACTCACGGCTCATTTGCTTCACGTAGGCGCGCAGCCGGGTTTCGGTGACCCTAGGGCCTTGCAGCCAGATGTACTGTCGGCGGACCACTTTCTCGTTGCACCAATCATTTTTCTTGTTGTCGCGGATGTAGTGGCCGATCTCGTCGACGTGCCTAAGTCGTTGCTCATGGGGTAGCTTGTCGCGTATCTGCTTCAGCATCTTCGCCGCCCACTTCTTGTAGTGGTAGATGAACGCGGTGTACAGCCTGAGCGTGCTATCCTTCTCCAAGCATTGTAGGTGTCGTAGGGCGTCCATTATGAGCACGTCGGTGCTGGAGTACACCATGTCGTCCACTACAAAGTCCGTCGCCTTCCACCCTTCGCGCGGCACCGGCATGTGCTCATTGTCCTCCTTCTCGTCCTGTTCGAGCATGTCATGTATGTATTCAAATTCCCGCCTAAGGCGTTCTTCCAAGGTGCGCGGATTCGTGCTACGCGGAGGACGGTCGTCGACTTCGTCGTCGCTCTCTTCCTCGTCCTCGTCGTCGTCATCACCTTGGTTTTCCGAGCCGGCCGGCACCGACGAAGGTCCTGGCTGCCCATCTGACGTCGGTGTCGACTTCTTCGTAAACTCCCCCATTGGCGGATTCGGTATGTCCTTGGTGTACTCCCCTTCGGGAATCTGAGTCAGTTTGTCAAGATCGTAAAGCAACTTCAGCGTCTCTACGGGGGCAGAGGACGGACTGTGGTCGGTTGGGGTACCAACGTCGGGCATGTCGATGTCGTCCATGTCCGCTCGTATGCTCTACCGCCGGCCGTGGAAGAGGGAAAGATTGGTAAACCAGAGACGGAAGTGATTCACGTCGACGCCTTAGTGCCGACGTAAGTCTATTCCAGGTCGACGCCTGAGTGCCGCAGCTGGATCGACTCGGCCGTCGAGTAACCTAGACCCGCAGAGATAGCGAGGGTCCTGTAAAGAAAACGAAATGCCAGATGGCGCACAGGAGCATGAGAGAAACACGAAGCTGAACAGGCAGAATGAGAGCGTTGTGCGTGGTCAAAGAGGGGTATGGTTGCGGGCCATTTTGCACCTGCCGCGCTCCACGCAGCCCTCTTTGCAAGCGCCGCAGTGCACGTGCATGACGTGTCACGATCGATGCATGTCTACTGTCACGCCGCTCTGCGCTCAACGGCACTCCAGCCGGTGCTTGCCACGGTGGAATTTATGTGCGCCACGTGCAATAGGCCAATCACCTAGTTCCACTCCCCCGAAATGCCGTAGCGTCCTGCTCTCCCGCGCAAACCTCATCGACCTGCGAGTAGGCGCGTGGCCGGAGGGTTGGTCGACGCCGACATTCCCTGAGTCTGGGGCTCTCTTCGCCTATGCATTGTTTGGTCCGCATAGAACCATCCGCGTGGGTCGTGCTGCTGCGGTTGGATCTTCGGGCGACACCGACATCTCAATACCCCGCGTTCTCTGGCTATCTAGGTGGTGGACACATGCCAGTCGTCTTTCGCCGCGTGGACGATGGTTACATTTTTCATCGGCGCGCCAAGTTTCGCGCGCAGCGAAATATACCCGGTGGTGCGAAGCGGGGCCACGTCGGCGCCGTCGTGGCACCTCCCGATTGTCAGGCTCGATCTCGGCCGTCCCTACTAGGCCATGTGGCCGTAATCGCGGCTCGGCGCACAACGTGTCGAGCTGTGATTC